TGTAATTACTTATATAAATTAATCAATAAAGATATGAGCAAGGCCTCACCTTAATACCAAAAAAAAAAAAAAAAAAAGATATATACCATGTGACACTGGGATGTAAAAACAGGTATGTTATACATAAACACAGTAAATCCTACTCTAAAATTCACATATTTAGTTTCATATCCTATAAGAAGTGATAAAATGCAAATAGGGTCCTCACCCTAATTTATAACTCCCAAAAAATCACATTAATAGGAGCACATGTCTAATTCTATATCCCAAATGACACTATTGTAAACCAGAGTGAAGTGAACCCTAAAAGGGTTCTTTTTTGAATCACTCTGGTTTACAATGATGTCATTTGGAATATAGAATTAGACATGTGCTTCTATATTAGTGGTCTTTTTGAAAGTCATAGATTAGGGCAAGGACCCTATTTGCGTTTTATAAAAAATGTACAACAAAAAAATATACCCTAAAAAATATACACTTCTTATAGGATGTAATACTGAGGGTGTGAACTTTAGGAATGAAATCATATAGGATTTCTGTGGTTTGTGTAACATACACATTTTTTACACCCCAGTGTCACATGGTATATACCTTAATAGTAACACATTATATATATATATGTCATAGATTTATATATCTTTTTAAGGCCACCAGACTATTTGATACATGTGAGGGAATAAAATTTTTTATAGGATACCTACTAGCAATGAAATAACAAGAAGAAGATCTTTAATCGGTGGTGTTATACTCGACATGCCAATTACTAACTCACCTTAATCACAAGTAAGCTCTGTAGCTGAATTCTTTCAATAACTTATAATAAAATCATATTAATTTCAATACAAGCTAGCTCAAACTTGTTAATATACTTATTAGAAATTATGATAATTCTAATACAAACTCAATCACTTAGTAGTAGATAAAATGATAAATAAATAGTATAATATAGAAAGCATTATAATGAGAAGCATTATAGAATAGTTTAATAATACAAATAATACTACAAATTAGCAAATAATATGTAGACACTTAAAAATAACAAACCTTTCATCATCAATACAAATCTTTACTTGTTCTGCTATAAATTATGATATGAAATTGGTAAAAATTTGAGATCTTCCCTACAATATAATATAGCATACTCTATCTAACTTCCTTTAAATGACTCATGCACATAGTTATAATTTAAATATACAAGCAATTAATTAGCACATTGTAGAGTGCAATGTGTATATTTATCCTTTTTAATATAATTTACATAGAGTTTTCTGTTTAAAACTTTTAAGGAATTAATTTTATATCCTATATGGGCTAAAATTTCTAATTTCTGCAGTTTTTATTATCAGATCCAGGACATGTCCTCTTAAGATAGGTCAAAATGCTGCAAAAATACCATTCTTGATAGATCGTCGGTACTGTTCTTGATAGGTATAAAAAAAAAATCAATTTACATACTGTTCTTGATAGGGTTCCAAAAAAGGACTTCTAAAGTATTATACTATTATAGAAAAGTATATGAAAAAAATTAGGATTAGGGTTCGTTTTAGAATCCTTTCAAGAATGGTACTCAAATAAAATTTTTTTTAACCTCTATCAAGATCAGTACCGACAATCTATCAAGAATGGTATTTTTGCCAAAATGCTATTTATAAATAAAATTTTCAAAAAATATATAAATTTACTATATAACTTTGAGCTAAGATATTCATAAATCTAACTTATTAACTTTAAATTAAATATAGAACAAGAGGAGAAAAAAAAATTGAGCTTAAAAATTAAATTAAAATTTTGCTATTTTTGTACAAAATGAAAATCTAACTTTTCCAAAATCAAATATTTGCAGATTTTAAAATAATAAATATATGTAAAAACATGCTCTGAACAACTTTACTTAGAAGATGAAAGTAGGTTACCTTGATAAAAAAATGAGTTAGCTATATACTAAAGTAAAAATTCTAGTTTTTCTATATGCAACTTTTTTTTTTACTTATGTAACCTGCTTTCATCTTCTAAGTAAAGTTGTTTAGCATAAAATTTTATATTTATATAGTTTGCTGATTTTTGTTTTCACAAACCTTTTATTAAGTGCAAAATGGGGTTAAAGTTGGAAAAAAAAAATTTTTTTTTAAAAATATTTTTTTCTAACTTTAATCCCATTTTGTACTTAATAAAAGATTCACGAAAATAAAAATTAGCAAACTATATAAATATAAAATTTTATGCTAAACTTTACTTATAAGACGAAAGCAAATTACATAAGTAAAAAAAAAGTTGCATATAGAAAAACTAGAATTTTTTACTTTAGTACATAGCTAACTCATTTTTACTATCAAGGTAACCTACTTTTATCTTCTAAGTAAAGTTGTTCAAAACATGTTTTTATATATATTTATTATTTTAAAATCTGCAAATATTCTATTTAGAAAAAGTTAGATTTTTATTTTATACAAAATTAGTAAAATTTTAATTTAATTTTTAAGCTCAATTTTTTCTTCTTCTCTTGTTCTAAAATTTAATTTAAAGTTAATAAGTTAGATTTAAGAAAATCTTAGCTCAAAGTTATATAGTAAATTTATATACTTTTTTGAAAATTTTAATTATAGATAACAATGAAAGGGACATATCCTGTAACTGTTAACTATAACCAACTCAAAATCAAAAAGAGTAAAGCTTACTAATAGTAAAAACAAGGAAAAAATCTTTAATTTGCACACTAAAAAAAGTATGGAAAGTTTAAACAATATAGCAAAACAACAAGACAACAAACTAGCAAGTGGCAGGTAGATACAAATAAAACTAAAATAGCCAAAGAATACAAAGAAAAAAATGGTGAGGCTCTTTCTTTAAAGAGTAACAAAAACAAAGTACATGGAATAAACATGAAAAATATAAACAAACAAACAAAAGAACAATTTACAAATATAGCAAATAATATTACAAGCATAATAAACCCAAAACCTATAGCAGAGTTTAGCTTCTCAACAAACAATGTACAAATTACCAAAACTAGAAACAACCTTACTGAAACTAGACAATAGTCTGATATATTCTCCAAATTAGAAGGAGGCAAAGCCATATTTTCAAATACAGCTTCTAGACAAAATATTCAAAATCTCACAAACATATTATCCAATAATATTATTTTAGCACTTTTGGTAATTTAATTGCTGCAAAAGTACATATACAAAAAGAAAAGTGCACTTACTTGGAAACTGTCTTTGCTAATAGAGACAAACAAAAACTATGCAATAGAAGAAATAAGTATCTTTAACCAAACACTCTTTAGTTATATTCCAGTAAACTTAAAATGCACTTTTCTCTCAGTAAAATTAAGAAACACGCCTATGAGAAAAAAAAAAAACATTAATAATCTAGTCAGAACTGCCTTCCAAGATTTAGGAACTATCGCTTCAATTAAGCTTTTATTATTTAAAGGAACACCAGTATGCTCAGACCAATGAATTATTATCTTTGAGACCACTAATGATCTGAACTTGGCACAGAGACTATCTAGACACATCCACATAGGGAACTATAAAGTCTCAACAGACTAAAAAGAAGCTCCCAAAGTGTGTTATTATTTGAAAGAACAGGACACATCAAGAAAGATTGTGAGGAATTAAAGGCTTCTATCGAATATAGACAAAAAATGAAAGAATATAGAAAACAAAATAAATCTAGAACAGAGAACCAGAGTGAAAACAAACCAAAAACACAAATAAGCTTTAGCCTAGAAAATCTCTACAATACTAACATGGTTACAGAAAACATTAATGAAAGTAACCTAGAAGTACAGCAAACTCCAATAGAAGAAACTCTAATAGTAGCTCCTGAGCAAACCAAGCAAAATCCCACAGATGCTATCTTAGAAACAAACTATATAATCACAGTAAAAGACCAAAAAAACCCGGAGCTCAAATAAATAAGTATGGTAATTGATAATACTATAGCAGTAAATTCTATATCTAATAATCAAGATGATGTGATAGAGGATGCCGAATTCACTCTAGTTACTTCAAAAAAAAGAAAAAACAAAATAAAAAACAAAAACAGGAAAGAAAACTATACAACCAGTATTAAAACTATCAAGACAAAAGAAAAAAACAATTCACAAAAGGCCTCTTCTTCATGAATCTAACTTAAAGAACAACTACAAATATAGCCTATCTTCATATTTAGAGGAGCGCCATTTATCACCTAATTTTTAGAGTGGGAAGGAGGGTCAGAAAAATATCAGGTCCTAATATAATAATAGTTTTTAATTAGTTAAAATTATTAAAAGTATAAAAAATTTTAACATTTAATACTAGATAACTTTTGACCCAACAGTCCGTTTTGGATGATTTTACCACCAAAATGTCCGTCTCACTGAGACTATTTTAACAAGCCCAAAAACATCAAAATCCAATCACAAGATTCTGAGATCGGAATATATTTGTATTACTTTATATATATATATATATATATATATATATATTTTTTTTTGGTATTAAGGTGACCTCTTTGGTCTGAAGACTTTTTATTAAAGTATAGACAAAGTTTTATAATATAATTACAACAATGGTATATCAAGCCACACGTGCACCTTTGAGTGCCTATTTAAATAGTCCGCCTGAAGGTTCTACACTATCTGCCATACCTGCACTCCAACTAGGGGGTACCCATTTAAACCATCTGGTTTTAACTACTTCTATCTGCCCTCTAACCCAATAGGTTTCCTCACTATAAACTATGATAGATTTTGGTATCACCCAAACTAGATTTCGCATCCTACCTTAGAACACTTAACTATCTTTAAGGTAAATCTAACATAGTGATACATGTTCCATATATGTATTCACATGCTTGTTCTTATAACTTCTTCCTAATTAGTATATATTGATCTGCTGTTTCATATTAGTATCTCACGCTACCTTTTAGATGCTGCCTTTCTACGGACGTTTCTCAAGCACCAACCTTCCTAACTAGGCACCTATTATGTACTTCTTGCCCTTGTTTTGGTTTTTAACAACTCCAGTACCCCACATTTAAACTGTCTTCTTACCTGGATTTTTTATTGGTCTTTCCCTTACTTTCAGCCGGCAACTCAGAAGGGTCAGTCTGCCCAGGCTTTAGGTGCCTGAAGGACACCCTCCTCTTGGTCCATACTTTTGGAGCGTATGTCCTTTTCCTCCAGTATGACAATCTGGCGGTTTGGCTAATATGTCCTCTGCCATTAGGACCTGGTTGCTTGGTTCTCCGATCTCGGGCCCCAGTTCGAATTCAGCCCTTTCATGATACCGTTATAGATTGCTACTATCTTCAAACTCAAAACTTGCCAAATGAGTTTTTGGTTATTCTGGTTTCTTGAATTTATTGCGCCAAAGCTCTCATAACTAGATAGTGTAATCAAGATTACAAATTTGATTCAACCGATAATTGACAACCATAAACCGAGATATAGGCTATTATTCAAATATCATTGCCAGTGGGATTTGAACTCTAGACCTGCCACTTGGAAAGAGTAACAACTAAACCACTACACTAAGTCACCACACCTCTATTACTTTATATATATATATATATAGTACTATATATATATAATAATACAAATAGAGGTGTGGCGACTTAGTGAAGTGGTCTAGTTGTCACCCTCACCAAACGTTATAGGAAGATCCCATGTTCAAATCCCAGGGACGGCGCTTTTGTAATATGGGAAAAGTCTGCGACGATCTTCACTAAGGTT